CATGGGGGAAATTGGGCGTTTTGGGTAGAACTTAGGATTTTCAAATTTTGGGAATTTGGACCGCGATTTGAGATCCGATTACAAAACAAATTATACATTTGGGTTTGTGGGTAAACGGGTAATCGGGTTTTGGTTCGAACCTCAGGTTTTGACCATGTGGGCTCGAGGTCGATTTTTTACTTTTTGGGAAAATCTTTAGAAAACCTATTTTCATGCATTAGAATTGATTCATTTAGTATTTATTGATATCGTTAAGTAAATTGTGGCTAGATACAAGTGAATTGGTGGTGGAAACAAGAGGTAAAGCGGTAGTTGAGGCTTGAATTGTGTTAGTGGCATTGAGGTAAGTGTTTGGTCTAACCTTAGCTTGAGGGATTAGGAGTTGAGTCATATTTGCTATGTGTTAATTGTTGAGTACGACGTATAGGTGTGGTGACGAGTATCTATATGTCGGTGTCAAGCATGCCCGTGAGTCTTATACTATGATTTATGTGACTCCGTTTCCTATTTTTCATGCTTTATATGATGATTTCTATTGTTGAATAAGGCTTGTGGAAGTATTATTGGTAATTGAACATTGTAGAGCATTGGCTCAAGTTGAGAATTGAGTTGTGAAGTAATTATGGAAAAGAGAAGAGGTTTATGCTATTGTTCCCTTGCCGGGATTTTATTGTGATATTATTGTTTCTCTTGCCCAAATTGCTTTGTGATTGTTGCTTGGGTAAGGAAGAGTGTAAAAGCACGAAGGGTGATGCCGTGCATGATATTTGTCAGAGAGTGTTAATACACGAAGAGTGATGCCGTGCCGATATTGTGAGGTAAAAGTACGAAGGGTGATGTCGTGCCGCACGATGCACAATGTCGTGCCATGATATGAGTGATAATGCACGAAGGATAATTCCGTGCCATGATTATGTGAGGTAAAAGCATGAAGGGTGATGCCGTGCTGATTACATTGATTCTTATGGTGAGGACGAGAGTAAAGGCACGAAGGGTGATGCCATGCACTTGTCTTTGATTTCCTTATTCTTGCTTACAGTTGAATCTCCGTGTTCCTTTTACTTCTTTACTGAGATTTTGTTTGTACATGATATTTCCCGCAACATGTTTCCCCTTCCCATCTTTAACTGCTAGTTTCTGTCAATACTACTCGTTGTATATGATATAACTGCACAGGTTTATTTGGTAGTCTTGTCCTAGCCTCGTCACTACTTCGCCGAGGTTAGGCTAGGCACTTACCAGCACATGGGGTCGGTTGTGCTGATGCTACACTTTGCACTGTGTGCAAATCCCGGTGCTGTAGCTTTTGGACCACAGTGAGGTTGCTGCCTTCAGTCCAGTGGCGGAGACCCGAGGTAGTCCTGCAGGCGTCCGCAAGCCTTGGCGTCTTCTTCTATCTTTCCATTCTGTTTCTTTTATGTATTTTAGAGACAGCTTTGTATTTATCTTTCAGACCACTGTTTGTAGTATTCATAGATAGTCCGTGACATTGTGACACCAAATTCTGGGTAGAGTTGTATGTTGGATTCTGCACTAGTATATGGCTAAACTATTAGTTTTCGTCTTTCGCATTTCTGTTATTATAATTATTCCGCTGTTGATCACCTGTTATATTGAACTGTTAAAAGGGGTTAAGCAAAAAGGTTAATGAATCTATAATACTCGGCTTGCCTTGCTTTCATGAGTAGGCGCCATCACGACTCCCGAGGGTGGGAAATTCGGGTCGTGACAGTGAGCTGCTGCAGCGCTCCTTTTTTTGCAATTGCTTAGGGTTTCTTCTTCTCCTTCTTCTTAATTGCAAAATGGGTATGTTAGATTTTTTTTTGAAAAATTTATGATAGTGTTTGTTCTTTATGATATTTGAAGGTTATGTTATAAATTTGAGATCATTTGGAGTAGATTTAGATGTTGAATTGTGTATTGGATTGTTGAAATTTGAAAAATAAATTTCTGTTTCTGGGCAACTTGTACTTCAGACCTATTTGGCCTTAAGTGCACGGAAATATTTGTTGCACTTCAACCTATTTGGCCTTAAGTGTAAATTTTTTACTTCAGACCTGTTTGGCCTTAAGTGTATGAAAACATATATTGCACTTCAGACCTATTTGGCCTTAAGTGCATCGTAAGTGCAAAGTTTTCACTTCAGACCTATTTGGCCTTAAGTGCTGAAAATATTTGTTGCACTTCAGAACTATTTGGCCTTAAGTTCATCTTAAGTGTAATTTTTGCACCTTAGACTTAATTGGCCTTAAGTTCATTGCACATCAGACCTTTTTTCTTTCAAAAATGGGTAGACTTGCAAATTTTTGTGCAAAGTGAATATAAGTTCAATGGTGACTCCAAAAATAAATATAGATGCAAATTCCCCCAACTGCTTCGCCCACTGTATCGGCAAAGATTTTCATTATTTGTTACACCTGCAACAAAACCTCAGCTTTAACACAAGTTGGGGTTTAAAATATTAATATTTCAGATGAATCCTAATCAGAAAATTATATTGAGCAATAGACATATTATCACGACCTGACCGATTATGTTATGTATTGGAGTCTCGTTTCCCCTTTTGATGTATTACACATGTGTATTTGTGGCTTTATAGCTTGGGGGTTGGTTAATTTCGTTCCGGGAAGGTTTTGGGTTGATGTGGACCCTTTGGTTCTTGGTTTAAAAGCCTAAGTTGAAAATATTGACCAAAGTTTGACTTTTGTGAAAAGGACCGCGAAACGGTATTTTGATAGCTTCGATAGGTTCGTATCGTGATTTTGGACTAGGGCGTATGCCCGGAATTTAATTTAGAGGTCCCGAGGTTGATTTGACTTTGTTTTGCCGGAAGTTGGCAATTTGAGGTTTAGAAGTTTCACTAAGTTTGACCATAGGTTGACTTTATGGCTATCGGGTTCGGAATCTGGTTTTGGAACTTGGAATAGGTCCGTTTTTCTATTTGTAACTTGTCTACAAAATTTGGTGTCATATGAATTTGGTTTGATAGGATTCGGACGCTTGGTTGTAATTCTTGAGGTTCTTGAGTTTTCTTTTGAAATTCATGCGTTTTGATGTGCGATTCATACATATAGATATTATTTTTGTGTTTTGATCGCGCGAGCGAGTTTGTATGATGTTATTAGACTTGTGTGGATGTTCGGTTCGGAGCCCTGAGGCTCGGGTGAGTTTCAGACGTGTTTTGGAATAGTTTTGAATTAAATTAGGACGGTTGGTGTGTTGATGCCTCAGGTGTCGCAATTGCGAACACTGGCATCGCAATTGCGATCTTAGCAGGGGGTTTCAGGTGTCGCATTTGCGATGCCTAGATCGCAATTGCGAAGTAGTACCTGGACTGGGTAGTATCGCATTTGCAATAATTCCGTCGCATTTGCGATGGAAACAGGCTTCGCAAATGCGAAGCCAATGTTGCATTTGTGACTTTCCCCTTAGGCTGTTAGTAGCCACAATTGCGAGACTTTCTTTGCAATTGAGAGGGCTCACAATTGCGAACCCAGTGTCGCAATTGTGACACCTGCAACTGAACAAAAGGCTGGAAAGTCGGGATTTCATCTCATTTCTCTTATTTTAGAACCATAGACTCGGTAGGAGGCGATTTGGAGAGGGGATTTTCACCTACAATCATTGGCTAAGTAGTTTTAATCAATTTCTAACTATACTTTATGATTATATATGAGATTTAACATCATATTTATGAGAATTAAAGACAAATTTTGGGAATTTTTGTCTAAGTTTTGAAAAATAAAACTTTGAGATTTGAGAGTCGAATTGGACTTGGATTTGAAAACAAACACATATATAGACTTTTGGGGTTATGGTTAGTCAAGATCTACCCTTGGACTCGGGTTTTGACCGGAGCGAGTTCGGGGTTGACTTTTGGAGAATTGTGTAAAGAACATAGCTTTATTAATCGTAATTGGTTTCTCTTGCATTGGTTGATGCTATTAAGTCGTTTTTTGTTAGATTTGAGCCATACAGAGACGGATTTTAGGTGAAAGCTATTTTTGATTGTTGATTTGACCTAGTCACAGTAAGTATCATGTCTAACTTGGGGGGGGGGGGGGAGGCAGGGGGGAGGGGGGAAGGAACTACCTCTTAGGATTTGTGTTGATTGTGTTATTTGAATCATGTGGAAGACGTGTACACGAGGTGACGAGCTGTGTACACATGCTTATATGTGGTATTTTGATCGATTTAGACTATTAGGCTTTTTCCGTGCATTTAATTGAAATTGTCATAACATGCTATATATTTCATGGTTAAATTTACTCTCACATGCTCTATATTTGACGTTGTTAGCACATGTTCTATCTTTTGTTGTCAAGTTTGCTCAAATATATTTTAGTTGAAGTTGTTACCTCTCTTATTGTCTTGTAACCTCCGTTATTGTTGAATTATTCTTGTTTGAATTTGTTGATTATTAAGATATCTTTCCTCGTTGAGTATTTCTCATCCATTTTGTTGTTATTGAGATTTTTGTTCACATTGTGGTTGAGTCATAGGCTATATGTTGTAGTAACATTGGTATTGTTGATTTTTGGCAAGTGTTGTGGCATATGGGCACGTGTGGTGCAAGTTAATTATTGTTTTGTAATATTGATACGCATGCGGTGGTATAAGGATAAGGGTTGATACGCATGCGGTGGTATAAGGATAGGGGTTGATACGCATGCGGTGAGATAAGGTGAGATTTATACACGCTAGTATGGGAATTAGTTGAAGTCACACGGTGAGATAATGGGGCTAAAACGCGTGTAGCTATTTCGGAAAAAATGTTTTCAAAATAAATGCAATGCTCACGAGGTGATATAAGGAAGATTGTGATTGCGACCGGTGAAATGAGACCGTTCGGTGTGGTACATCGGTTCTGATTTTTGTTGTACATTCCATATTAAAAAGGCTTGTCTGACACACGCACACACACACACTTGTCAATTTGAGCTAGAATTGCTCATTCATCTTCTTGCCTGGTTCAACTATTTAATGAACCAAATCTGAAATGAATTGAAAGTCACTCAAGAAATTAAACATTAAACAGCTCTAGGTCAAAGATCCATAAGGTACCTTGATGGAGAAGCACGGAGAAGACAAGTACAGTACAGTAAGGGAAACTGCTATTAGTATTACACTCAGATGATTGACAAGAAGAGCTGGGAATATCTTTTACAAGTAAACAGGCACCAATACACTCGAGCGCGCGCTAGGAGTCCTTGACCATTGGTGTCTTAATTATCCTACTACTGCAGTTATTTAACTAATGAATGGTTTTGAGAGGTGTTGAAGTTATTGGATAAGAACATAATTTGTGTCTTCGATCAACTTATCACCAGCTGTCGGGGGCAAGTTATGCCGAGAAATATGCTTATGAACCTGTGCGTGAGTCTCAGCCTCGTGTTGGAACATGTTGACCAACTCCTGCAACTCAAGTTTCCTAATTTCGACCTGCTCTTCAGTGATCGGCTTTTTTAACCCAAGGTATAGCAAGCCAACAGCAATGAGCACGATGCCTAGGACGACAAGGAGGAGTGAGAATAGACCGAACGCATAAGGTGTGTTCGCAGCTCCAGGGATCCCGTCCACATTGATTCCAAAAAGACCGGCGATGATCGTAAGAACAAGGCCACATCCACCAAAGACAGCTAAATTATGAGAAACTCTGAGACTCTTATCCTGAAAATTTGAACAATGTCCGAAAACATTACATTAGATCTTGACAGAACTCTTAAGGAAAGGCCTTAGTGAAATGAAGTTTAATCATCTGGTATTAGAATGAAGTGGAACCCTAGTCTATTGAACATCAAACAAACCTGCAACCTTGCACGGAGATTGCTCTGCATGACATCTTGAATTGTAAATATGCGTCCACGAACTGCTTCTTGCTCTTCAATCATTTCCCTCGTACTCTTTCTTATTCCTTCAAGTAGAATTCTAGTTGTATTTCCTCTCAAATGCTGAAGAAGTTCAAAAACAATCTCTTCCCTAGCATGAAGTGACCATTTCACTCTAATAACCTGCGTTACACTACATAACCAGTATCATTCGAGAACAGTTCTCATACTTGAACATTCAACAAAGCATGCAAAAGACAAGGATAAATGGCCTATATTATGTTGCCAACATTGGAATTTGAAAAACATTATGGTGAATAAATATTGCATTTTGAAGTGATATCAGTTGACTCCATCCCCAACACGAAGGTCTAACAGGGTTAAAATGTACTTAACATGTTTTGGCGAATAGCATACTCCCAGGAAAGTGATAATCAGCACAAGATCAAAAAGTCCTGAAAAACTTAAAATTCATGTAAATGCTACCCAAGGTAAAAGTTTGAAGAGCCTAAACACAGAACTTTTACTGTCACCGGCTCTCCGCTATTTAATACCACCAACCCCCAGATACTCAATAATAGATACTCAAGAAGGGATTCTTCAAAATTGCACTTTTTGGATTTAATGACCCGATCCATAGGATTTATAGAATTGGAAAAGGTGAAGGCAGTTTTACTTCTTGAACTGGGATCTTGTTCCCAACCCCAGCACCTCCTTCAAATAGGAAACTTGAAAAGCAAATAATAATTGACAAACATGATAAGAATACATTGGAGTAGCTGCAATAAAGTTTGCAATGTAAACAAATACCTTCCAATGGATATGATTGAAGAAAAAGCTGAATGGTCATCGTAGGCGGCGTAATCCTATCGCAAGACCCATAGGATAGATAAGCAGCTTAAGTAATATATACTGTGACTTGCTACTAGTTTAACAGAATTGAATTTTGTGCACTTCTCTCAGTAAATTCAGCTGAAGAATCCAGATTTTCTGTTCTTGAGTCAATTTACTACGATAAGCTGTTAGAAATTCTGAAAACCACAGAAATCCGTCTTTTGTTTGACAGGTTCATCTTCTTATATTGGCGTCTAAAGGGAATATGACACAGCAACCAGTCCAACACTATTAGGTGATTCATCTATAACAAGATAAAATGCTAGTGTAGGTCAAATTTCTTGACCTGGAAGGAATTTTCATGATGCAAGGAAAGAATAGCATGCTTCAAAGCTCATCCACAATTACCAAGATATGACTAATAATATGCAATAAGTTGTCATGATTGATACTCCCTATTTGATATAGAAAGATTTGGAAAAGTAAGAAATTCAACCAGGGAACAAGGTAGACCTGTCTTGATAATCTTCTGATTTCCTGGTTGAGAATTATTACTAAGAGATTCAGATCTTCCTTGTTCCTCCTATTATAAGAAAAGAAGACTTATGTATAACAGAATATGTGACATGAAAGAATAATCACTTCCAGGAAGCGAAAATATGACATGAAACTCTTATACCTGTTAACAAACTTCAATTCCACTTCATCTGCTCCACCAAATATCGATTTCCGAAATAACCTTCGGATAAGCACAAAAAAGAATTAGGTTTAGGATTAATCGATAATAACCATCTGTTGTGTCAAGGTTTTTCTTCACTCTGATGCTTAGAACCGTTACATGTACGTTAATCATCCAAAATTCTGGAAAACTTGCATTTAAGGACCCTTCTGTTAGTTCTCTGACAAATAAACAAGTTTACACCGTAGTTTGCTAAAATTATTGGGAGAAGACAGAACAAACACTTAAATTTCCACCGAAAATGACAGTACTGCACTGTCATCACCCCTCTTTCAGATCACTAGTACAACACCATTGATTTTTTCCCCACAGGAATATAACACCATTGACTTTAAGTGACGAAAATCACTATCACCCAGGCATAAGAAGTTGCTTTCTCTTTGGAATAGAGAGTGAAGTGGAAGACGATAAGTGAACTGACTATACCTTTTAAAGTAATTGACCAGCATAAGCGAGCATAAAATTGCCATGTTAGCGGAAATCAAGCATATATATTGGACCTTAAGAGAAGGAGTGCGTTGAAGTGTGTGACCAACTCAACTAAAGTATAAGTTGTTAGAGAGAAGACACTACATTTTTATTTACTTATTATATCTTCAACACTCCTTCTCACGTGCAGGTCTGATTCTTCTTAATGGGTCAAACACATGGAAATTCTTTGATAATGGGTGGCGGTAAGACTCGAACAGAGGCACTCTACCTACTCTAATATCATGTTGAAGTGTGTGGCCATGTCATCCAAAATGTTTAAGCTGTTACAGAGCACACTTTGATTTACTAAATTAAATTTTCAACAGAATACAATCGTGCATGTACCAGTTTCATGAGCCTGAAGATGCTAACTGCATTTTTGAAACCTTATAGTTACAAAAACCTAGCAATTACTTCCAATATCAGAATTAACAACTTCTCATTTGACCTTAGATGAATGAACCTTACATGAGCAGAAAGTTCCTCACTGTAGCTAGCAATTTGGTAGTTGCATATAATGGTAATTCTAGTCTCATATTTAATTAGAAGATAACAAAATTTGTAACGTGAATCTTGCAACATCAGATTGCAATGTTTTCTGAAGCCAACCCCTCTAAATAGATTTGGCTCAAACAGTGAGGCTCTTTGCAGACTCATCTTTTTCTATAATAGTACAAAATAAAGAACATCCATACCAAAAGTACAAAATAAAGAATTTTGTTCAATAATAGTACAAAATAAGGCTCAAACAGTGAAGCTCTTTGCAGACTCATTTTTTTCTATAATAGTACAAAATAAAAAACATCCATACCAACAGGATTGCATATTCAACCGAAAGTGCCGCAAATGACTTGCATACTTAATAGTTAACAGCTTGATGAGTCTCTTCCTACACAAGAACAATTTGATATTGGACGCTAAGGCATTGCAGAAAAACGTCCGCTGAAGTTAGGCTTCAAATGTTTTCTACTACCAACTAGTTCTACAAGACCACACAGTTCACCAATTTCGAATGAGAAAGCAGTTTTCTTACCTGTCATCCCACCTAGCAAGGCGGCTAGCTAAATGCGCAATGACTTCATGTACTGTCCTTGGTGCATTATAGCCACCAGCAAGAAGTAGTTCCTACAGTGAAGAAATCAACAGATTATATGAGCCAAAATGTTAAGAGTCAGATACAAAAACTTTTGCAACCAAAAACTAGAAGTCAAGTTGAGATAAGAAGGATGTAAAGCTGAGTAAGCATAAACGACCAGATGGACCAACACATAAGTTGTGAGAAAGGGCAATGTTTAGCATCCATAGAAAGGAGAACCTGAACTTCTGTGATACCCAAAACATTGATGCTTTTTGCTGATCCTTTCACGTGCAAAACCGTAACTAAATAGTTTTGTGCTTGCCAAGAACGAGTTACAACAGGGATGTCATCTTCATCAACATATGGATCACCAGCAGATTGCCCCAACAGCTCAAATAATAGCCCTCCAGCCACCCTTACTGGGACCTAATAAAATCCAACTTCTGTGAAAATGACAATTTGATCTTCATTTCTTACAGCAGAAAGAAGGCAATCCCTTTCATTTTAGCTTTTTTATATCATGATATGAGGTTGTCACTGATACAGATAAGATTATTATCTCTTTACCTCCTCAATTAAGTTTGTATATTACAAATAATTATCATGTCTTCCAAGTTGATTGCCGGGAGAAAGACCTCTATGAGTCATATACAGAGCATGATCATCTATATTTATACTATATTAAAAGCACGAAGGCCCTTAGCGAAATGCCGTTCGTTTTTTACCCTTTGAAAATAGAGTTCACATAAGACAAAATAGACATTTAATTATTTTACTACTATTTAGGGATTTGAAATCAACTAAAATTTTTTGGTTATTAAATCTTTCCTTATTTGAATTTAGTAGGGAGTCCTAATTTTAAGAAGTTTAATATCTATTAGAATTTTACCTTATGTAAATCATTTCGTCAATTGAACTATGTGCCATAACCTTAATCCCACCTAATATGTTTCTTTTAAAGGAAACACCAAATAGCCTCAAATATTCTCAAAACTAAACAATACAACGGGCCATATCAATATCTAAGAAAATAGATATTTAGTCTTTAAGTTAGTATTTTTAAAACATATTTTACCAAATAAGTTTTATTGTTTAGAAGAAAATACGATAAGCATTAAAGTAGGAAGAACCTATCCAATAAAATCGGAAAAGAACACAAATATAGATTTAAAAGATAAACAGTTAAAAATATTTATACTCCTCAATTTTTTTATAAATCAAATTTTTCCTCTAACTTTGAAAATAAAATATTCTTCCCCTTTGTCATATGCAATATCGAACCTATTCGTTGACATTTCCAATTCCTCTCTCAATTTAATTATTTTCGGATGATATTTTATTCTTTTTACTTAGATGATTTGCCAATAGTTAAATTATATTATATTTTATTATAAATAATAATTTTAGTTCGTTAAAGTTCTAAGTAGAATAATTCTTTTATGACTTTGTTACAAAATCTAATGTTATTTTTCATGATTATTATTTTATGTATGTTCTTAAGTTTCACCTTCGTTCTTATTCTCTACTGTGAATATAATTTTCTGAGTTATGCTTGTCAATTAATGAAATATATTCTAAATTACAATATAAAAATTTGTTGAAAGGATAAATAGATAATCTTTTAGTATTATTAGGTTATAAGAATAACAATAATTTTTCATAGATATTCCCACAAAGGTATTGAGGAATCAAAATAAGACATATAATTACTATCATGGGCATAATTTCTTCCTATATTCAACTACCTAAATAAATCAACATTATCTTTCTAGGAATTTACACTTTTTTCTTTAATTTGTATTGTATTTTATAGCACAAAGACATTATTTAATAATAATATATATAATTTGTAAAAACTTGTATACTTATTGGTATCCAATTCACACGCAAAACGCGTACCATGAGACTAGTTATATTAAAAGCGCGAAGGCTTGTACCGAATTATTATTCGTTATTTTTTATCCTTAAAAATAGAATTCGCATGGGACAACAACAACAACAAATCCAGTGAAGTCCCAGAATTGAGGTTTGAGGAGGATAGTGTGTACGCAGACCATACCCCTGCCCTGGGAGGGTAGAAAGGTTATTTCTGATAGACCTTCGTCTCAAAAAAAAATGGAAAGAAATAGTAGAAACAAGCAGAATTCACATGGGACAACATTGTCATTTAATTACTGTTAGGACTTTGAAAACAATAAAAGATTTACTTATTAAATCATTCCTTATTTGAACAACGTAGACAGTCCTAATATTTAGAATTTTAATATGAAAGAGCTTTATTTCCTTATAGGTCCCTTTAATTTGCTGAATGAAATGTAGTGAGCATATGACTTCTTCCCAAGTTTGTCGTTTTCTTTTTCTTACTTTGTTAAAGTTAATTTAATCGTTTTAAACTAACTTAATTAGATTATCAATAAATTCATTAGTTAAAACTTAATACAATTGACAATTGTAACCAATAAATATGACATCTATAAGGATTTAATGCATTGGTGATCGTGTTATGGATTTAAGTTGTATAATATTCGAATTCATTTTATAATATCACAGAATTGTAACGCGTGATAGTTGTTAGGTACTATTTTTAATATATTACTATGTTATATGAAGAGATTACCTGTAATTATCTTATAAGTTACATGGTTGGGTAAATACTTTCTACACCAGTGCATAGAACTTAAATTCAATATGATAGTAATATAAAGGACACAGTGAGGTTTGTTGAAAGTACATTTTGTTTAACAAAATGTATAGTAAAGTTTTCTCCTTTAATTTTATTAAATTAAACTTACTGTGAATTGATCTATATTCAAGAAAATTATTAAGATAGAAAAACCATCGTATTTGTTTTATTCCAGTTTGAACATCTCTTTCAACCTTTCCTATTTTTTTTTCTTCTTTTAACAAAAAGGGAATCTTAAATTCTGATGGTAAATAAGTTTTTTGGATAGTAAACATTTTATTTTAGACAAATAATTAGTTTTTTTGGAATGTCAGATTCTCAGGCAAGCTTCTTCTAAGCCAATACTTCAAAACATACATTAAATTTATTTCATCTTAAATTCTCAAGGATAGTTTGTTGTTGTTGAAACTGAAAAGGAAGCATAATAGTCTGTGAAATTAAAGTGATAAATTATGAAACTGAAACAAATTCTAAGTTGAACTTCTCGACGGATGATTAAGGACTTCTATATGATAATTTCCTTTATTAAGTGAGCGATATAAGATCAATATTCATTTTTTTCATGAACATACACTTCTTTTTTATTCTCAAACACAAATTTTCATAAAACATTTATGCAAGTTTTTTAAAAAGTTGTATTCATTGAGATACTGTACACGCGCAACGCGCGTACCTATAGACTAGTATATGCAAATATATTTCACATGTTAAGCAACAGATAAACTACTAAATGTCAAACAGGTCAAGAATGCGCAAACAGCAATGAAAAAAAAAAAGCAAGCGAGTAGAGTACCTCATACAAGAGGTGTTTCATTTTTTCACTTATTAGCCGACCTTCATCTCTTAAAGCAATACTAATTGCAGGATGCAACCACAGGGCATGGCTGAGCCAAGCATCTACAGAAGGATGACCAGCAGTCACATGGCACCACCATATAGGTCCAGCTGGACGCTCCCAGTAGGGAGCGACTAAATCCGCAACAGTGAGGCCATCTTCATCATCCATGAGATCAAACTGCTGGGTGGACCATCCAGCATCCGCTTGAACAGTTTGCACTAGTTCCAAAATCCTAGGCCAGCCAATAGGAATCCAACGGCTCCCTCCAACTCTATCCAAATTATGAAGATGATGGTGGGGAGAGCTTTGGCTATCCATCTTGCCATCAGCAGGAGAAATTTCCTGTGCTCTCGACTCAACAATAGGGGTAGAATCCAGCAAACTGTCCCCGTTGGTGCTCTCAGCAGAAGCCCCGGCAGCTTTATAAGCATGCACTGGCTTTTTAACAATTTCATTATCTATTTCATAAGGTGGTAAACCTTTTGTAGAAGATTTTGATCCAATTTTTTTCTGTCCACTAACAAACTCGAAAGCACAAATAAGACCATCAGTCCAGAGCTCACTCCCTGGCATGACATCCTTATGGTAGTGCCCTCTATTACTCTCTGGCTTCCTTAGCCTATAGCCCTGCGAAGAGTGGCCCTCGCTCATACCACCTTTATTCACTTTCATGAACAGCAGAAGCAAAAAAAATCACAAGTCAGCGATTTTCTTCTCAGCATAAGTGAGTTTGCAACACGAACGGTGTCTTGGTATTACGTTAACAGAAAACCTTCTGAATTCGCAATTATGATATTACTAGGATGTTCCTCAAAGGCATGCCTGGAAAACTAGGATCACGAGTCTAGTTGAGAGCGCATGCAAACGAGTAGCTCAAGATTAAATACGCTAAAATAGTAAGACATGTTTTACAAACTTTTTGTTATTTTTATCCTGCAATTGGAAAATAAACGAAGTGCCATTTGGTTGGGACCACCACCACCACAACAACAACAACAAACCCAGTGTATTCCCACAAGCGGGATCCGGGGAGGGTAGTCTGGTTGGGACTAATGGTAAGAATAATCCCCGCACAAAATTCAATATTTGTTAATATAATATTTGGTTTCGTTTATCTTTTTCACATAAAACTTAGCATCATTCAATAGAATATTTGATTCCACTTTTAGTTTTTCCATAACTAGTACCCATGTAAGTTATACTGTAATCGGTGTATTATTTTATGCAAGACAGAATGAGGAATACATGGAAACCACCAAATAACAAAATAATCCGTCAATATAGTATCAATATTTTATTTTGCTAAAAGAATAAAAACATATTTTGAACTATACATGGTATAATAACTTTTAACACAACAAACCAAACATTCAATAATAAGTAATTCCTACATTGCACTCCATGTATTACAATTCGTGCACTACTAAGCCCTGGACAGCATGCTTTTAAACCAAACGACCCCTAACAATTGCTCCACATATCAACCCAAGAATACAGAAACACACCAAAATAGTAGTAGCTAAGTTGCAGGAACAAGCAAGGAATGGGGGGGAAGACAAATATTATAAGGATACTAATAGCCTGTTTGGCCAAGCTTCTTTTTGGCCAAAAGTGCTTTTTTTTTTTTTTTGCCAAAAGCACTTTTGGCAAAAAATTGAGGTGTTCGGCCAAGCTTTTGGAAGGAAAAAAAGTGCTTTTGAGGAGAAGCTGAAGCAGTTTTGGAGAAGCAGAAAAAAGTAGCTTCTCTCCAAAAGCACCTTTTTGAGAAGCACTTTTGAGAAAAATACACTTAGAAGCAGTTTTTTAAAGCTTGGCCAAACACTAATTGCTGCTCAGAAGTGCTTTTCAAACTAATTAGCCAAACACATACTGTTTCTCACCAAAAGTACTTTTGAGAAAAGCACTTCTCAAAATAAGCTGATTTTTGCAGCTTGGCCAAACGGGCTATAAGAGTATTAACCATAATAAGTTGTCTTCTAACAAGCTCATCCATTTATTTAATATACAAAGGTTTTATTAACACTGGAATTCAAACTATGAAACAACTTCAATTACATAATTGACTATCAGAATTTTTCCCATCATATAACAAGCAAGATTTCAAAATTACCAGTTCATTAAAGCAAAGAAAACCGTAGAGTGAATTATACATGCCTGCAAGACTCCATTTATCTTGTCTTTAGTCAAAATGTTTTTAACAACAAGTATCAAATTGCTTTGTGAATTCGTCCCACTCTATGAAGTATAAACAACAAATGTTACAAAAATATCCAAATTTTGTTAATTTTCAAGCGTTTAGACGCAATTGCGTAATCTGCAAGCATAAGAGACCCAGAAAGTCCAAAGAAGAAGCAAAGTAATGACTTACATATCTGTGGAATCGCCAATGGAAGTATGGAAAGGATACGATCCAGAGGACACACGAAATCAGTAAAGTAAAGATGATACCGGTAATTAGCTCATTTCGTCAGTCACGATCAAAATATAGAAATGGGTTATGGAAACTACACTTAATATACATGTATCAATAGTACGAAGCCAAGCGAATTAGACTAAATTGTAGTTTAGGTTTTTCTTAAACTAGTTTTAACATTATAAGCTAGTCAAACTCACTTATAGGCGGGTCAAACTCACTAAAAGCCGTGACAAGTCATAAATTCGTCATCCTCAACTTATGACCGTTCAACTTATTTTTAGTTTGACTAAAGCATTTACTAGTTTATCCTTAATAATATTTTTTAATTTATAAAATTTCTCAAAATAAATTTTCTAACTTTCTCTTTATTCTATATTTGTTGTTATCCTTTTCATTACAGAGAAACTTTTTAATTCATAATCTTTTGTGAAAAAGTTTTAAAGATATTTTAGTCATTTTAATGAAAGAACAACTTATCAGCACTTTTCTACCAAATATTTCAACGGCTTATTATCAGTTTCAGTACATCTATCCAAACACGTGAACACTTAGTTAAAAAATTAATTTCAGCACTTAAAAATACTTTTCAACACTCTAAGCTTATCAATTATTTACAATTAGCTAATCCAAACGGGCTCTTAGTATATCCTATTTGCGTCTATCATTAAAAGTGCATAGAATATTGAACAAAAAATAAATTTCGAATATAGACTTGAACTCATAATAAGTACTCCCTCCGATCCAGTTTAAGTGATTTTTTGGCCTTTTTTATGGTCTATAATATTTGATTTTTTTAAATATCAAGAAAAATTAAAAAAAATCCAAAGTTTCCCTCGGAGTAAAGAGCCTAGGATGTTATTGTAATTGCAATGAACAAATTAAGGTTAATATGGCCAATTATATTATTAATTAATGCTAAAATGTGAGTTTTTTAATATATCTGAAAACAACCAAAAAAATACTTAAAGTAGACCGTAGAGAGTAATATTTTTTTCACCTCATAATATGGATTGAACATTTGAGAAATTTTATTAGTTTATGCATCAACGTTACAATATACGGTAATTAGTTCACATGAATTGGACACCGTACCTTATTATTCTTCAAAGTTTGCCCTATATTTAAGTGCAGTTTATATACAAATTTTTCTTATAATACCAAACAAAAGTTTATTTATAGATTTACATCTTAATATCAAATATAGATTCAAAAGAAAACTTTGAACTAAAAATAAGGATAAGCATATTAGAAAATTCACTCGAGGATTGTTTTTCGAAGTCTAAGGTCCACCTGATTTCGAGTTTGATATAACACTCTCACTCAGACATCAAACTCAAAGATTACCTTATTCCGGGTCCAAATAAATGATCTCACTCGGATCCAATTTATCAAAAAATCGCCTCAGGTCGGGTTCGAATGTCCGATCTAGCCGTTGAGTACAACTATATAACTTTATAATAAGTTACTTTGACACTTGCATAAAATAACAAAAGGACGACGGATTCGGGAGCCATGGAAAGGAAAATAATTTTAGCATATCAAAGTTTCTTTTTACAAGGGCCACATGATCCGATCAAAAATTTCTTTACAAAGGCCGGTCGGCTTCAAAGTAAAAGCGATAATTACTGGGCCTAAGCAACACGGTCCTTATCATAAGAAGCTTATTCGTCCTCAGAATCTTCTCCACCAGAGGCACTCATATTCTCGGAATCCTCGTATTTGAACTTTTTCACTTTTAAATAATGTGTTTATGCTAATGTAGCGATAAAATTGTGAAGACTGATGAATAAGAGTTGGATGCTTTCATGTTTTTCTTGAAGGGCAATAGTTTTGAAAACTTGAATGTTAATTTTTGAAGGAAAAGTTATTTAGGAAGAAAGAAGTTTGATCGGAATTAGAAATAGCAAATTAAAGAAATACAAGTGATTCGGTATTTTATAAAATAATAAATTATAAAGTATGTAAAATAATTACAACTTGGAAACAATCATAAAAGGAAAATCATTAGCTTTTTTTGAGCTTGTGAGCATATAATTTCTTTAGTTATAGATAGAAATAGATTTCTTTATTATATTTATTAAGTTTTAATTTCATTCACAATTTCATGTAGCAAGATTTTTGCTAATTAAATGTGGTGATTTAAGCTTAATTTCAGAAGAATCAAAGGAATCTCAAGAATTAATTAGTACTTCATATATAGTTTATGATTAAGAATATTAATTTTCAATTAACCGAATAAGAGATTTTAAAGATAATTCTATCTTGATTGATATCACTGTCTTTATTTTCAACATTGTCAATAATTTTTAATTTCAATATTTGAATACACCGTGAATATTTCAAAATTGTAGGATATATTATGCATAAACGATTTCTATTCAATTCAAAAAATAACAATCTGGTGTGGGAACCCTTACTGTCTCTCCCAATATCGTGCTTGAATAATGTTCTAGAGTCGTAACATATCTATAGGAAAAAAAACTAATTACATGAAAACCGTATTTGGTTCAACGGAAATAAGAAATAACCTCATACAATTACCAAAATTCAAAATAGTTTTAACCTCTTCTTTTTTCCTCTACTTCATCCCCAAAATATCTGTACAAACCTCTTTTATAGAAAAAAACAAATTTATTTAACACAAATTATAAGAAAGAAAAAAAATTAAGACTTGTTCATGCAAAGAAAAAAATTTCTCATAGTCGTGATATGTTTTACGTAAAGAATAACTATAATATAAAAGAATTTCAAATTTTAAATATTTTTACCAATAATTTTTTTTAAATAAAACTGTAAAAAGGTAGATTTTGACAATCTCTAGAAAGAACATGAAGTAAGGTGCATCAAAAAATTAGTGGTAGAAGAGACAAATATTTTTAAAACACATAAAATAACTCATATAATAATTAAATTTCAAATAAATATATTTCCAATATATAAAAGCAAAACTTCATTTCACTTCTTTAACATTTTAGCTTTTATTGTTGATGAAATTATTTATTTTAAATCAAATGCAAAGTAAGGATTTGGACTTTATAGGTTACGTTTTGAATTCTAATCTTTTAAATTTTTTTGGTTCTTTTAGCCAAAAAAAAAGTTATTTAGTTCTGTACATACTCAATGAATTTTTAAGATAAAAACAGAGTTTGAACCGAAGCTACCGAATTTGATCGAACACGTAGCCAGCACTCGAGCTCCGCCCATGCTTCAAACTCATTTTGTGCTTATCTTGAACTCATTTAAGATTTTAATAATGTATTTTATTTTTACTCGTATTAGAAAAACTCGTGTTTACATCTTCTAGAATTATCTAACACAACAAAATCTTCAATAACTCCAACTTTTATACTACGATATTTTTAACTTTAGTTTAGAGTCTTTACACAATTTAACCTAATGATCTTACAAGAATTTTAATATAAATAATTAAAGTAAATTAATAAAATAAAATATTTTAAAACTATACCTGAAAATAACATTAGGACAAATTTTTATAAGCATATATGATCTCACTAAAGAAGCAAAAATATTAGAGGTTAAGGATAAAAGATATAGTAAGACCTAATAAATGCTCCACTTATAAAATGTGACGACCCAAAGGGGTCATCACCTGTTTTCCCTTTCATTCCGTGCTTCCGAGGTCTTGAAAACCTCATTTTTTACTTGCCTCGATTTGCGTGCACAGTCCGGGTGCGTAGCCGGAAAGCTTAAATATGAATTCTGTATAAAAATTGATGAATTTTGATATTAATATGATTAAAGTTGACTTTGGTCAATATTTTGGGTAAACGGACCCGGACCCGTGATTGGATGGTCCCGGAGGGTCCGTAGAAATATATGAGACTCGGGCATATGCCCGGAGTCGAATTCCGAGGTCTAGAGCCCGAGAAATGAATTTTTCTGTGAAATTATTTTTCAGAAATTAATATGGAAATTTGAAAAGGAAATTGATTAGAACGTGTTGGTATCGGGCCCGTATTTTGGTTCCGGCGCCCGGTACAGGTCTTATATGTGGTTTAAGCGCTTTCTGTGAAATTTGGTTGAAATTGGACGTCATTTGACGTGTTTCGGACCTAAATATCTAAAAATGAAAGTTTATGAAGTTTGAAGGAAAAGTGATGATTTTGAGGTTTGATTCCTCGTTTATGATGTTATCTTTGATCGCACGGTTAAGTTCGTAGGATGTTGTTGAGTTAGAGTGTGTGGTTGTTTAGGAGCCCCGAGGGCTTGGGAGTGTTTTCGGGGGTGTTCCGGGAGGTTTAGAACTTAGAATTTCTGCAGAAAAATCTGCAGCGGTGCACAAGCCCTCCCTTCTTCGCGATCACAACTTCCCCTCCGCGATCGCGATGCCTTCACTTCTCTCTACTTCGCGTTCGCGATCCCCCAGCACGCGATCGCGTAGCTTTAGCGTCCCCTTCAACGCGATCGTGTTAGGCCTCACGCGTTCGCGTAGGCGAAACCTTGGACCCCCAGTAATTTTTCCTCTACGCGTTCGCGTTACTCGACCCGCGATCGCGATTCTCTGCCCGTGTGACCCTTCGTGAACGCATCCCCATTTCCGCGAACGCGAAGGGTAAATTTGCCCAGTTATATTTTAATTTTCAGAACAATATGGTCGCGAGATTTTCATAAAAACATCTGAGTTCCTTCTTCTCCAAGGTCCTTAGGCCTCCATTGAAGCTTCCTTTCATCAAGACCTCTTGGGTAAGTAAATTCTCACTCATTTCCTTTATTTTCCTTCATTAATTAGCAAGTTCTAAGCCTAAATTATGTAATCTAGGGTTGGAAATTGGGGGAAATGGGTAGAGTTAGGGCTTTTCAATTTTTCTTCGATTTAGACCTCGTTTTGGGCAGAGTCATAGCCTATGCTTGAGGCAGTTGAAGATCCATGAGAAGAATTATCCGGTTCATGATCTAGAGTTGGCAGCCATTGTTCATGCTCTGAAGATTTGGAGGCATTATCTATATGGCGTGACTTGTGAGGTGTACACTGATCACAAAAGTCTTCAGTACTTGTTCAAGCAAAAGGAGTTGAATTTGAGGCAGAGGAGGTGGTTGGAGTTGCTGAAAGATTATGATGTTACTATCTTGTACCACCCGGGGAAGGCCGATGCATTGAGTAGGAAGTCCGCCCGCATGGGTAGTCTTGCTTAT